ATACCTGAATGTCCCGCCCGCCCGACCCGCCGCCCGCCCGCCCGTTAGGGTCCCGCCCGCCGCCCGACCCGCCTGCCCGTTAGGGTCCGCCTGCCCGACCCGCGTCCGCCCGTTAAGGTGACACGCGTGCTACCTCGATTACGCGTCATGCTTTAATGTCCCGCCCGCCCGACCCGCCCGCCCGCCCGCCCGTTAATGTCCCGCCCGCCGCCCGACCCGCCCGACTGGTAGGGTCCGCCGCCCCCGAACGCCGCCCGCCCGTTAGGGTGACACGCGTGCTACCTCGATGATGCGTCATACGTAAATGTCCCGTCCGCGCGACCGACCCGCCGCCAGCCCGCCCGTTAGGGTCCCGCTCGCCGTCCGACCGCCCGCCCGTTAGGGTCCGCCCGCCCGACCCGCCCCCCCGTTAGGGTGACACGCGTGCTACCTCGATTTTGCGTCATACCTGAATGTCCCGCCCGCCGAGCCCGCCGCCCGCACGCCCGTCAGGGTCCCGCCCGCCGCCCGACCCGTCCCGCCCGTAGGGTACGCGCGTGCTGAGATGAACACGCATCACACGTGAATGTCCCCGGCCGCCCGATCGACACGCCGCTCGCCCGCCCGCCCGCCCGCCCATTAGGGGCCCGCCTGCTCCCGACCGGCCCGCCCGACCAGTGCCGCCCGTTAGGGCACTCGCGTGTTCAAACGAACACGTTTCACACATTAATGTCCCGCCCGCGCGCCCAACCCGCCGCTCGCCCGCCCGTCAGGGTCCCGCCCGCCGCCTGACCCGCCCGCCCGTTAGTGTCCGCCCGCCCGACCCGCCCCGCCCGCCTGTTAGGGTCCGCCCGCCAAACCCATCCCGCCCGTTTGGGTACGCAGTGCGGAGACGAGGAGGAAGGGGAGGAGGACGAGGACAAGGCGGAGGAGGAGGAGGAGAAGACTCTCTCTATCCCTCTTTTCTCTCTCTCTCTCTCTCTCTCTTTCTCTTTTTCTCTCTCTCTCTCTCTCTCTCTCTCTCTCTCTCTCTCTCTCTTTCTGTATCTATATATATATATATGTCTCTCTCTCTCTCTCCACGAAACAAATTGGAATCGCCAGCACTCCTCTTCCTCCTCCTCCTCTTCCTCCTCCTCCTCCTCCTCCTCCTCCTCCTACTACTACTACTACTACTACTACTACTACTAATACTACTACTACTACTACTACTACTACTACTACTACTACTACTACTACTACTACTACTACTACTACTACTACTACTACTACTACTACTACTACTACTACTACTACTACTACTACTACTACTACTACTACTACCACTACTACTACTACTACTACAAATTCTACTCTACTACGGCTACTACTACTACTAATACTACTACTACTACTACTACTACTACTACTACTACTACTACTACTACTACTACTACTACTACTACTACTAAACTACTACTACTACTACTACTACTACTACTACTACTACTACTACTACTACTACTACTACTACTACTACTACTACTACTACTGCTACTACTACTACTACTACTACTACTATTATTACTATTACTGCACGGTCAAGCTTCCGCCGAGGGCATGTTCCGCCAAGACCCTGTTCCGCCGACGGCCTTTCCCGTCGAGGGCCTGTTCCGCCGAATGCCTGTTCCGCCTGGTCCCCTTCCGCCGCGTCCGCTTCCGCCCGGTCTTCTTCCGCCCGGTCCGCTTCCGCCGCGGTCCTGTTCCGCCCAGTTCTGTGCCGCCCGGTCCTGTTCCGCCCAGTCCGCTTCCGCCGCGGCCAACGCTCAGGCCGTGGCCGCGGCACCCCCTGCGCGGCGGAACCAGGCTTCGGCGGAACAGGCCCTCGGCGGAACCGGTCCCGGCGGAACCGGTCCTTGGCGGAACCGGTCCTCGGCGGAACCAGCCCTCGGCGGAACAGGTCTTCGGCGGAACCGGTCTCGGCGGAACCAGTCCTCGGCGGAACCGGTCGCGGCGGAACAGGTCCTCGGCGGAACTGGTCTTGTATCAAGAGCCCTCCAAGAGCCCCCCGAAACCCAAGAGACCCCATATGCACTCATGAGGCAGGCTTTCTGTCAAACATCACAGAGTGTTCAAGCCAACATGACTGACTGTCTGGCCGGACCACCGAACAAAAAAGGGATGGCCCGAGGCCAGTCTTGTGGGCGGACCCTGGCGAGCGTGTCGGGCGAGCGGACCTTCACGGGCGGGTCGGGCGAGCGGACCCTAACGGGCAGGCGGGTCGTGTCGGGCGGGAAGGGATGGGCAATCCATTTAAGGGGGCGACTGCGGCGACAACGACGACGAGGATGACGACAACGACGACGTTGACGACAACGATGACAACGACGACGACGACGATGCGAATGGTAATGAAAGTAGTACTCATAAAAATATGGGAAAAATTGTGATCACTAAACTACATGCGAATACGACTAATAACAACAGCAATAATAATAAAAAAAAATAATAATAACAAAATAATAAATAATAATAATAATAATAAATAATAATAATAATAATAATAATAATAATAATATCAATGATAAAAACAATAACAGCAACAACAGCAACAACAACAATCATTTTAAGACTGATCGCTCTTACTGGCACGCATGTCTTGTATTCTGTGTACCCGTCCCTCGACACCCGCCCACTATGTCTTCGATCGCACCCCCTTTCGGAGGGAATATCTTCCTTGCCGGCCACTGACTGGCTGCGAGAAAATCTCGAGCGACAGCGCCGCTCCTGAGTTTGGGAGCCTCTCTGGCCAGGGGCTCTCGGAATACCTTGTCGCCGTGTTGCCGTGTCTGGCGTGTCTGGGCCTCCACCAGCGTGCCTGAATTACGAGGAACTCTCGAACGAGAGCGCCGTTCCTGAGTTCGGGGGCCTTCCTGGCCAGGGGCTCTCGGAGTAAATCGTGAGGATGTATCGAGCAAGAGCCCTTGTCGTCGTGGCTGGGCCTCCGCCAACTTGACTGAATTGCAAAGAAGTCTCGAAGTATCGAGCGGGAGCCGTTACCGTCGTAGCTGGGCCTCCAAGGGCCCACATTTAGGCTCAAGCCAACGCTCGCGCGGAAGCCTCGGTTTCATAGAACATGCAGCCGGCGTCGAGGCGAGAGCGCGCGAAACCGTTTCCAGATATCAACAATAACTATTCTCTAGAAATGACTATTCCACAACAACAACAAACAAACAAACAAACAAACAAACAAACAAACAAACAAACAAACAACAACAACAGCAACAACAACGACAACGACAACCACAACGACACACACAACGACAACGACAACAACAACAGCAGCAACAACAACAAGAACAAATAACAACAACAACAACCACAACAACAACAACAACAACAACAACAACAACAACGACGACAACAACAACAACAACAACAACAACAACAACAACAACAACAACAACAACAACAACAATCACTTTACCCGAACGCTCAGTGTTCTCACCAGTGCCAGGGTTTTCATGCGACGCCAGCCAATACCCCCACTTTGTGGGGGGGCAGTGCAAGCTCTACAAAATATCCACACGACTCTTCGCCACCACCCACACCCAGCTTCCCGCCCTATGACGTTCGGACACTTCACTTCGTGGCCTGCGGACGACCGTGGCTACTACACTGGCGTGGAGTACACACCCACAGAAGTTGTGAAGCCTACGTTCGTACTACCCGTGACGCGGATCTTCCGCCAACCTTTGGAGATTTCGGCGTGCGCGCGCGAAGAAAAAACGAATGTGTCCCGCATGGTATTATTTGACAGGGATGATGGCCCTGGCAGGTGCGCAACCGTTGTCGCAGAAGTTCGAAAAAGTTGCTCGCAAAAACCCGTTTGACAGAAATGTTTAAAAAGTGTTGGGTTTCCTACGAATCCGCAAGAGCGCACGGGATGAGATTTTGACAATTTTTGGTGAAAAAACCATTGGTTTTTTGATGTTTTTATGTTAAAATCGCTGCGAACACTAAGGTTTTGGAAGGATTTCGTCTTGCGCGCGCGAATGTCCACTTTACCTTTATTTTTTGCAAGGGATTCTTGAAATTTGATTATATTAGAACAAGAAATGTCATTTTATAGTGTTTTTTGCAAGGGAAAGCGGGGGGGAACAAAACAACCGGATCTTGATCACATCGACTTACCTGAGGCTTCCTCACGAAAATGATGAAAATGTAGCTGCGGCCTAGGCGGCGCAGGGGGGCCGTGCACCAGGGGTCCCAACAATAATTATTCTTTAGAATTAATAATGTTCAACGACAACCACAGCAACAACAACAACAACTACAACAACAGCAACGAGGAAGTTGACGACAACGAGGACGAGGGCAAAGACAATCAACGCCAAAGAGGGCGACGAAGACAATAAGGACGGCGACGACCACGTCGAGGGTCACGAGGACAAAGATGACGACGACGACGAAAACGATGGCAACGACGACGACGACGAGGACGACGACGATGACGACGGCGGCGACGACGACGAGGACGTCAACAACGACGACGACGACGACGACGACGGCGACGACGATGAGGGAAACAATCGTGATGACAACCCTGAAGAATGGATCGGGCGGGCGGACCCTGATGGGCGAGTGGGTCGAGCTGGCGAACCCTACCTGGCAATTCGGGCGGACGAGGGGTCAAGCGGGCAAAACCATAACAGGCGGGTCTTGCGGGCGGACCTGAACGGGGAGAGCGTGTCAGGTCCAGCGGGACATTCGAATAGCGTGTAATCCATGCAACAGGAGATCCATAGGGTAGACCACGACAAGGGCGACTACCGAGCGCCTGACGAACGGACTTATCCAGACCTACCTCGGCCGCGTGGCCCCCTCTGGAACCGCACAGTGACTGTCCAGCGGAGAAAGCGAGAAATCACCCCGCAGTGGAAGGAAGACGAGGACGAGAAGGAGGACGACAAGGAGAAGGACGAGGGAGAAGGGAGAGGAGAAGGGGGGAGGTCAGGAGAGAGGGAGCGCACGCGCCACGCCTTCGCGGCGGCCGAGCGTGGGCAGGCCAGCAGGTAGACGCCATCTGGTTGCTGCTCGATGCGGCCACCGCTGCAGCCGAAAAGGTCGTCGATGGAGACGCCCTGCCCGCTCCCAAGAGTTTCCTCCTCCGCCTACTTCCCCTCCTCCAACTCCTCCTCCTCCTCCTCCTCCTCCTCCTCCTCCTCCTCCTCCTCCTCCTCCTTCCTCCCCTCCTCCTCCCCCTTCTCCTCCTCATCATCCCCTCTCTTCCTCCTCCTCCTCTCCTCCTCTCCTCCTCCCTCCTCCTCCTCCCCCTCCTCTCTCCTCCTCCTCCTCCTCCTCCTCCTCCTCCTCCTCCTCCTCCTCCTCCTCCTCCCTCCTCCTCCTCCTCCTCCTCCTCCTCTCCTCCTCCTCCTCCTCCTCCCCTCCTCCTCCTCTCCTCAGCTCCTCTCCTCCTCCTTCCTCCTCCTCCTCCTCTCCTCCTCCCTCCTCCTCCTCCTCCTCCTCCTCCTCCTCCTCCTCCTCCTCCTCCTGGTGGGTGGGCCCACACTACGTGACCCCGCAAATCCTGCTCGAACGTAATCAATTCTGGGGAACACCACTTGGGTGCGAGCGCCGACAAGCCCGCACGGTCAGCGAACAGGTCCAACGCAAAGGAGACATTGCTTCGCGATTCCACCTCCCAGTAAAGATCGCGATGGGATTGTAAATGCCGGGAAGATGCACGGCGAACGCCAAAGAACGCGCCACACGTTGAGCGCAGCCTCGAACCGGCCGGCAAGATATTCTAAGGACGGTATCCTGCCGTATCGCATGTTCACATAGTGAACGGCCGCCGTGGTGTCCATGCGAAAAATAACCCGCCACCCTGCAAACGCCTGCCCCTCGCGCAACAAGCATTGCAGAGCGACCCAGATTTCGTTGTAATTGATGTCTACTGCGCCCAGGTAGCCTTCTTCGAGCACGAAATCGCCCGGCCAAACGCCGGAAACTACCCGGTTACCAGCGCAGACGTGATACGACCAACCGACGAGTTTGGACGCATCTGTCTCGACTACCTTGGAGCCCTTCACTGGCCAAGGACCGCCAAGTGAGGAACTCTGGTGACTTGTGCCCCCATGCAGAAAGAGGGCCCCCAGCACAACGCAGGGAACGGACTGGCGGAAAAACTAATGCTCGACACAGCCAGTCGATGTTTTGCAAGGTCAAAAGTGAAAGATGAACTACAGGGTCGGCGCCTGGATGGGACTGCCAGAGAACGCACAAGTCTGTGGAATTCATGTCCACCCACAGAAGACGCAAACAAGTACGCGTTTGTGGCCAGATGTCTGCTACGTGGGATGCGAAGCTTGCAGCGGCGGCCAGCTGTCTCGTTCTCAGAGATTGGCGGTTATTCGCGGCAATCAGCTCTAAAGACAATGCCTGGCAGCGCTCACATTTATCTACGGAGGTTGTTTCTACGCGACGAGCTGTATCAAAAGTCCACCCAATCCAAACCTGCCGTTGGCTGGGGGGTCAAAACCCCCGCGGGTTTCGCACTAGCTGGGATACCACATTGAATGAAGAAGCACACGGCCTTGCGCAACTGCCCCCACGCTTCTTCCTCGGTGTCTGCGAACCCAAGGAAGTCGTCTACGAAATCGAAAAGAGGCACGGCTTCTCTGGCCAGGAGAATGCGAAAAATCTCCTTCACGGACGAGTCGTTCGTGCCTGGAGCGGGCTTCAGACCAAAAGGAAGGTAATCGAACTTCCCGTACGCCCGGCGGACATTGGAATACAACCCCAACAAATAATTATCTCTGTCTGCGATCCTTCAATTTCTTCATTACAAAACTAGTCCTGCAGGTCAATCACGTACATCCACGACCAAGCGGGCATGCTGACTGCCTGTTCCACTGTGCCATAATTGACGCCCACATCTAGGAGAAGATCGTTCACGCCACCTCTGCGTAAGTTCACAATCAAGCGGGCTTTTATCCTCTCGAACTCCGTCGCGTCAGGTGGCACGCCCTCCCGTTCCTTCAGTATGAGTCCAAGCGGATTGACGTTGAGCTCGGCTGGCTTAGCACTCTCAGATATATAGTTCTCGTTCTACCCATTCCGGATTTTTCCGGGCAGAGGGGTGGTTGGGAAAGTCGCGGGCGATCTGCCGGGAGGCCCCGAAAGACCGCCCATGGCGCCACACTTCCAGGAACTCGGGTGCAGCTCCGCTTAGTTGGAAAAAATCAAACCGTAGTTTGAGTCCTGGCACTTTCTCCCAGTCCGTGAGGCTGGCACTGCCGAGCTGGATCTCCGCACGTAGATCCTCCATCTTGGGCCGGCCGTGCTGCGGAGCGACAACCACACATGACGATTATGAGAGCAACTCCTGCTACCTCCCTTCCGTCCTGTGCCCCCGTGTAACTCTACTGCACCCTGCATCCCAACAAGCCCCAAAGAGAAGCGTTCTTTCTGCTGTGGACTGCGGAGGGGGGGGTAACAAAGGACCACCACCACGCCGACCTACCAAGCGACCGACTCACGCCGACCCTGCACCGGAGCCGCTGGAACCAAACCACTCGGTTGCTGACGGGACGACAGATCCAAGAAGTCTGCGCGGGACGACCCCCCGCCTGCAACCAGGAGGGGCACGGAAGGCCCCGAAGGAGGAGCCACGCCCAGGCCCCCAACAAGGCAGGCAGCGCGGGGCCGGCAAGCGCCCCGACCTGGAGAGCCCCCAGGCGCCTGCGCCCTCCAGAGGCCCCCCCAAACCCCCCCGCCCCAACAGGGCAACCGCCACCCACGAAGCCCCCTTCACAAATGCAAGACTCCTACGAAGGGGAGCGCTCCTCCACCACCTCCTCCTCCTTCTCCTGCTCCTCCTCCTCCTCCTCGGTGCTCATCCTCCTCCTCCTCCTCCTCCTCCCTCCTCCTCCTCCTCCTCCTCCTCCTCCTCCTCCTCCTCCCTCCTCCTCCTCCGCCTCCTCCTCCTCCTCCCCCTCCTCCTCCTCCTCCTCCTCCTCTTGCTCCTCTTCCTCCTCCCTCCTCCTCCTCGCTCCTCTCTCCTCCTCCTCCGCCTCCTCCTCCTCCTCCTCCTCCTGCTCTGGTCCTCCTCCTCCTCCTTCTCCTCCTCCTGCTCCTCCCTTCCTCCTCCTCCTCCTCCTCTTCCTCCTCCTCCTCCTCCTCCTCCTCTTCTTCTTCTTAGTTTTCTTAATTTTCTTATTATTATTATTATTATTGTTAGTATTCGTATTATTATTCTGATTATTATTATTATTATTATTATTATTATTATTAATATTATTATTAGTATTATTAGTATTATTATTATTATTAGTATTAGTATTATTAATATTAATATTAATATTATTAGTATTATTAGTATTAGTATTATTATTAGTAGTAGTATTATTAGTATTACTATTATGATTATTACTATTATTAGTATTATTATTATCATTAATAATATTATTAGTATTATTATTAGCATTATTATTAGTAGTATTAGTATTCTTAGTATTAGTATTATTATTACTAGTATTCCTATGGTTCGTATTCTTATTATTCTTAGTATTCGTATTATTATTATTCTTATTAGTATTCTTGTTATTATTATTAGTATTCATAGTCTTCATGTTATTCTTATTATTATTAATATCATTATTCTTATCATTCGGAGTATCATTCTTCTTCTTCTTATCATTATTATTATTAGTAGTAGTGTTATTATTCTTGTTATTTGTATTATTCGTATGTTTCTTCTTTTTCGTCTTATTCGTATTCTTCTTCTTAGTAGCATTCGTATTCTTAGTATTTGTATTCGTATTCGTATGCTTATTATTCTTCTTCTTCTTATCATTATTACTATTCTCATTAATAGTAATCTTATTATTCTTATTATTATTATTAATATTATTATTATTAATATTATTATTATTATTATTGTTTCTTCTGCTTATTATTCGTCTTCGTCATCTTCCTCCTCCTCCTCCTCCTCCTCTCTTCTTCTCCTCCTCCTCCTCCTCCTCCTCCTCCTCCTCCTCCTCCTCCGCCTCCTCCTCCTCCGCCTCCTCCTCCTCCTCCTCCTCCCTCCTCCTCCGCCTCCTCCTCCTCCTCCTCCGCTCCTCCTCCCTCCTCCTCCTCCTCCTCCTCCCTTCCTCCTCCTCCTCCTCCTTCCTCCTCCTCTCCTCCTCCTCCTCCTCCTCTCTCCTCCTCCTCCTCCTCACTCCTCCTCCTCCTCCTTCCTCCTCCTCCTCCTCCTCCTCTCCTCCTCTCCTCCTCCTGCCGCCTCCTCACCTCCTCCTCCTCCTCCTCCCCTCCCCTCCTCCTCCTCCTCCTCCTCCTCCTCCGCCTCCTCCTGCCCTTTGCTCCTCTCCTCCTCCTCCTCCTCCTCCTCCTCCTCCTCCTCCTCCTCCTCCTCCTCCTCCTCCTCCTCTCCTCCTCCTCCTCCTCTTCCTCCTCCTCCTCCTCCTCCTGCTCCTCCTCTCTCCTCCTCCTCCTCCTCCGCCTCCTCCGCCTCCTTCTCCGCCTCCTCCTCCTCCTCTCCTCCTCCTCCTCCTCCTCCTCCTCCGCCTCCTCCTCCTCCTCCTCCTCCTCGCCCTCGCTCCTCTCCTCCTCCTCCTCCTCCTCCCCTCCTCCTCCTCCTCCTCTTCCTCCGCTTCCTCAGCCTCTCCTCCTCCTCTTCTGCTCATCATCATCCCTCCTCTTCTTCCTCCTCCGCCTCCTCCTCCTGCTCCTCCCCCTCCTCCTCTCCTCCTCCTCCTCCTCCTCCTCCTCCTCCTCCTCTCTCCTCCTCCTCCTCCTCCTCCTCCTCCTCCTCCTCCTCCTCCTCCCTATAGCTTCCATCATGAGCATCAGCATCACGCTACTACTTCCCTTGATACTGGAACGTCATTCGGCATAATCGTCGTCATCGTCCCATCCCTTGTGCTCGCCTTGCGCTTGTTAAAGCTATACCTCGCCCTGCCCCAAAAAAACATCAACGCAATCACCAGTTCAGCATCCACATACTGCAGGCTCGTCGGCCCATCGTGCACAACTTTTATTATGTCATATGTACGCCTGAGTCCCTTGCATCCCCCCCGAATTACAAATGCAGCCGAAACACAATCCAGCGGGCATGCGATTCGGCGATGGCTACCTTCTCGATGTTTCTCTGGCTAGCGAGATGGTGTATGCGGACATGGGGCAACATGCATACTCTCCAGCTCTCTTTCTCTCTCTCTCTCTCTCTCTCTCTCTCTCTATTTCTCTCTATCTCTCTATATATAGAGAGAGATATACAGTTCGTTCTCTCTCTCTCTCTCTCTCTCTCTATCTCTCCATATGTAAACAGATCGTTATCTCTCTCTCTCTCTCTCTCTCTCTCTCTTCTCTGTTTCTCTGTCTCCCCTTGCCCCAGGTGCCCCAGGCTGCGGCGGTGGAGTAGGTTCAGGCCTTGGCACGGCCCCCGAGCGATCCTGGGATCCGCGCGTCGCATCGGCGGCCGTCTTTTGCTCTTCCGTTCCTCCGCCTATATTGCGTACCTGCTTAGGCTGCTCCTCATCCTCCTCATCCCTCATCCCCTTCTTCCTCCTCCCCCTCCTCCCCGCGCCTCAATCGTACATCCTTCGTTCGTATCGTCCACCCTATCATCACAGCCACCATCCTCATCGTCGTCGTCATCATTACCACCACCACCACCACCAGCCCCGCAGCATCATCTCCATCACCATCATCATCATGATCTCCTGCGTTCGAGATCGTATATGTATATATATATATATATATGTGTGAGTGAAAAGCTGGTCCTGGGAAGTGGTCGAGAGGTCGGGGGCCCGTGTCTCGAAAAAAACGAAACGCTGGAAGTCTGGGGAGGCCCCCAGAAGCCGAAAGTGGCCAAAAGAACTCCCGCCGATGCTTTATCACAGCGAGATGAGGTGGGGCCCCCCCACTGCCTCCGTCGTCGTCACAGACGCCGCCGCCGTCGCCTTCGCTGTCGTCGGGCAGCCAGGGAGCCGGCGGTGCGCTGGACATCTCCTCGAGGGGCGCGCGCCAGAGCCTCTCCACCTCGGGCCTGCTCCTAGAGGGCCACCGCCGCCGCGGCACGAGAGGGCGCCGCGCTCGCGGCGGCGGCGGCGGCGGCGGCGGAGGCGGCAACGGCGGCAGCGGCGGCAGCGGCGGCAGCGGCGCTGACGGCGGCAACGCCGGGGCTGGCGGCGGCGCTGGCGGCGCTGGCGGCGGCGGTGACGACGACAGAGCTGGCGGTGGCAACGATGGCGACGGCACGGCGGCGGCGCTGGCAGCGCTGGCAGAGGCGGCGGCGACGACAGCGCTGGCGGCGGCGGCGAGACCCGCCCAGGTCTGCTCCTGGCGCAAGCCGCCAGCCGCCGCGAAGACGTCGCGCGGGCGCGCGAGTACAAGGCGTAGTCCAGCTGGTTCCGCCTGTAGAACCTGGAGGGAGCCAAAGGCACCAATACCGAAACCACCCCCGCACCCCTCCAGGGGCGCGTCCTGACCAGGATCCAGGGAGAGAACTCTGGCCGTGGCGACGAGGGCCTACAAGGAGACCCCGAAGCAGTGAAAGCGACAGAAGGCATCGGCATCGGCGTGCACTTTCCAGACACCCTCCGACGTGATTTCTATCCGCGGCCCCAGAGCTCCCGACCCCTTCTCTGGGGTAGTTTGGCGTCCCGGGTCCATGATTGACGGCCCCAGGGCCCGATAACGGGCCCACGCTGCCGCGATCGAGGAAGAGCGCCATCATCCACACAGCAAACATCTGACTGGATATCTGCATGTTCCCTTCCGACATGGTCAGATCCCGATGATCGAAGCCGCCAGCTCCCCAACTGACGAAGGGAGGCCCCACCAGGCCAGAGCATGCCGAACCTTGGATATCTGGGCCCCCCTCCCTGCCCACAACGGGGGCCTCGCGCGCAGAGCGTCCGCGTTGCGCTTGCCCAGGTGCGCGTCGCTCTCCGGGACTATCATCATGGCCTCTTAGCATGAAGGAAGGAAGCGAGTCCTGTGGGAAACGGGTCCTGGAGGAGGAGGAGGAGGAGGAGGAGGAGGAGGGTAAGGAGGGGAAGGGGGGGGGGAGGGGGAGGGGAGGAGGGGGAGGGGAGGAGGAGGAGGAGGAGGAGGAGGCGGAGGAGGAGGAGGAGGAGGGAGGAGGAGGAGGAGGAGGAGGAGGAGGGAGGGCGGAGGAGGAGGAGGAGGAGGAGGTGGAACCCAGGTCCTTCCCCTCGGGGCCAGCTCTTCCTCCCGAGCCGCTCTTTGACCGCCCTGGGGCCCCTGGAAAGGCCCCCTGGGAGCCCCACAAACGGCGCAAAACCTCGGGACCCGCTTCCTGCGCCGACGCCGGGCGCCCCCGTGGCGTCCTCTTGTGGTTCTGGTGCCCGCTGGCGGTGGAGGCCACGGTGCCTCCCCGCGCCTCCAGGGCCCCCGGGTGCCCGTGGGGAGCCCCCGGAGGCGACGCCCGGCGCCCCCGTGGCGTCCTCTTGTTCTGTGCCCGCTGGGGGTGGAGGCCACGGTGCCCCCCCCCCAAGGCGCCTCCAGGGGTCCCCGGACGGCGCGCCGACGCGCCTCCAGGGGTCCCCGGACGGAGCGCCGGAGCCGGACAGGTAGAAAGTGCTGATTCCGTGGGGGCCCCTCGGCGAGGCAACTGGCCCACCCCGGGCCCTCTTCCTTCAGGGCCCGTCTCCTCCGGCTCAGCCGAGAATGGGATCAAGGCAATCTGTTATGCTGCTCCCATCGTACTTGAGGACCACATCCCAGAAATAATGCACCCAGAAAAACACCGAAACAGCGTCGAACGAATATCGCCTCCCAGGGCCCGACACGTGAAAACCATCAAGTTTCGGTACTTCTTGGTGTTCGAAATTCTTTCTGGTGGTCAAGGCTAAAATAGGTTTGAACATCATTAAAGCTGGTTCTTGCTTAAGAAAGCTGGTCCAGCTTCCAGGAGGCTTCTGGAAAGAAACCCGGGCAGACTTCTGCCGTTCACGCTGGAGGGGCGCACATGCTCCGGAAGCTGGGCCAGCTCTCCGGCGGGCCAGTTCAGAAATGCTGGCCCAGCTTTTCGGGAGGAGGCTTCTTCATCAGATGCTCGACTGTAGAGGCCTCCCAAGTGGAGTCTGAGTATAAATGGGATCGGGAGATCTCGGCGCCGACGCACACCCGATGCATCGCCGATGCATCGGCGCTGCACCGGCGACGTCTGCGATTCATCGGCTCCGACGGCGTGGAGGATATCGGGTTCCACATCGGGCCGCATCGCCGATACGTCAGGACGCAGAAGAACATGGTAGCACTACGCGTCCCCCTCGGAGGCGCGCGTCCGACCCGAACGGATAATTCGTCCATCTTGTAGCGTATCGTTCCCCGAGCGGCACGCCCAGAAGTCGCCCGCCGCGGAGCAGGCACCACCAGACTTCTCTGCGCGCGCGTCGCCCCTCGGGGGGGCGACGTGCACACAGCACGAGCATATGCTTGGGCGGCGCCGACACGCCGGCGATGCGGCGCGAGGCTCCCCCGCCCATCCGGGGGGGAGGGAGGAGGGAGGAGGGAGGAGGAGGAGGAGGGGAGGAGAGAGGAGGGGGAGGGAGGAGGGAGGAGGGGGGGGAGGAGGGGAGATGGGAGGAGGGGGGGGGGGAGGGAGGAGGGAGGAGGGAGGGAGGGAGGAGGGAGAGGAGGAGGAGGAGGAGGAGGGGAGGAGGGAGGGAGGGGGGAGGGAGGAGGGGGGATGGGAGGATCCGCGGCGTGCCTCGTGCGCCGCGTAGGGCCGCACGCGCGTGCGCAGCAGCGGGCGCGCCAGGCCCGGGTCGAGGCCCACGGCGCAGACGAGCTGCAGGGCGGAGCGGGCGAAGTCCTCCACGACGACCACCGCGGAGAAGCGCTCCTCCCCACGGAGCCGGCGCTCCAACAACAAATATATATATATATATATATATAAAAACACACACACACACACACACACACACACACAAAAAAAAAAAAAAAAAAAAAACGGCAAAGTAACCGAACAGGGATGTGCAGGGGCATCTCTGGAAGCATTCCCCTCAAGATTCGGATGAGAATCCTGTTGTAGAATGCTGCTGTTCTCGCAGTCGTAGTCGCATTCGCGATGGCAGTCGCAGTGGCAACGGCAGTCGCAGTCCTCCACGATGACCACCGCAGAGAAGCGCTCCTCCCCACGGATCCGACGCTCCAACAAAAAAAAATGAGCGGGCGGTCTTGGGCTGTTTTTGGGCCTCGGGGGGTCCTCGCCGAACCTCGGGACCGTCAAAAAACGACTCAGGACGAAAAACCGGCAATCGGGAAGTGGTTTATTTGGACACCCGAAATGGGTACGGAAAAAACGGGTACAATGCCGAAAGACAAATGTTGTCCCAAACCAACAGCGGCCGCTGTTTGGCAGCGCGGCCTTCTGTCTCAAGTGTACACCGTCCGCGGCGACACCGATGGCGAGCCCTGCTCAAAATGAACAGGAGCTGCTGTTGGGCATTGTGCCCGCTCTTTCCGTACCCATCTCGTTCGTGCCGAGTTTAGGCCTCCTCCTCGTCCTCCTCCTCCTCCTCCTCCTGCCCCTCCTCCTCCTCCTCCTCCTCCTCCTCCTCCTCCTCCTCCTCCTCCTCCTCCTCCCCCTCCTCCTCCTCCTCCTCCTCCTCCTCCTCCTCCTCCTCCTCCTCCTCCTCCGCTGCGTCCTATGGAGGAGACTCCTGGGATGATCTCCCGTCGGCCGCGCGGCTCGTGCGGCCTGGAACGGCCCGAGCCCTCCGCAGCGCCGGCCGCTCGGTGTGGGCGGGCGCCTGGCCGCCGGCAGCGCTCGGCCCCGGGGCTCGGCGGCCGGCCCCGGGGGGAGGCGAGGAGGGGCGCCGCGGTCGGTTCGAACTTCGAGGTCTTCGGGGGTCGTCGTCGGTCCTCGGCGAGCTTCCAGCCTCGGGGTGCGCTCCAGCAGCTGCGCCTCGCCGCGGGCGTGCTGGGGATGCCCGGATCGCCCCGAGCGGCCACCGGGGGCCCGAGCTGTGACCCGAAAACCACCAGCAGAGGGGGCGGGCCTGCTCAGAAGACCCAGACTTCCCCGGGCCCTCCGAGGAGTTTTCAAAGCCTTCCCAGAGAACACACAGAGAGAACTTCCCAGAAGGCCAGAGGGCTTCTGAAAAGCCCCGCCGCCTTCTGAGAGGGCCTTCTCCTTCGCACTTCCCCCCTCGCTCGCCGCCGAGGCCACGCCGGCCAAATGAAACCCTGACGCGGCATTAAGAAGCGAGGCTCACCTGCCCCGCAGGCGAACCCCTCGGCATCCAGAGGCGGCCCAAGCCAATACAGCCGACATGCTAATCAAGAACATGATCAGTCAATTAACCTGGGCCAGATTCCCCATGTTTCTCAAAACAAGCTTGGGCCAAGTTCTGTTCTTGACGCTGGAGGGTGGGGGCTGAAAGTGGCCCAGCACTGTTTCTGGCAAGCAGCGATGGCGGGCAGGTCCGACGTTCTGGATTTGGGGAGGGTTTTCGTTGCCGTTTCTGGCCTCGGGGGGGGGGGGGGCGCTTTCGTGCCCCAAGACCGTCAGAAACGGATCCAGGGTGAAAAACTGCACCATGGACACCAGGAGGGTCCGGGGACCAGTCTTGAGCGGACTTGGCCTTGTCCCCTCTTCTCCGATCCTGGCCTCAGCCAGCTCAGACCCCTTGGCCGCCTCCCCGGTGGGGGGCACACGCTTGAATTCGGCGGCTTCGGAGCGGACCCGTCGCTGTCAGGCTTACGCTGAGCTGCAGGGGAACCGAGGAGGAGGAGGAGGAGGAGGAGGAGGAGGAGGAGGAGGAGGGAGGAGGAGGAGGAGGAGGAGGAGGAGAGGAGTAGTAGGAGAGGAGGAGGAGGAGGAGGAGGAGGAGGAGGAGGAGGAGGAGGAGGAGGAGGAGGAGGAGGAGGAGGAGGGGGGGGGGCCACGAGGTGGGGGCACGGCAGAGGCCCCACAGATGGTGGTGGCCGCGCCAGGCCAGCCCCGGCCAGCGGCCCCCCGCGCCCCACGGAAGCCGCGCACCCGAGGCCAGGCCGGCGGAAGGTCCCTCTTGACGTGCAGCCGACCTGGCGTTCGGGCCATGGCGCGGGCATCTGCAGGGGGCCACAAGCGAACCCTACCCCTACCCCCCACGATTTCTGAGGGGGAGGGTGGGGTTCACTTCTTTCGGGAGGTCACGAGCGAGGTGAACCCCACCCTCCCACTCAAAAATCGTGGGGGGTAGGGGTAGGGTTCGCTTGTGGCCCCCTAATCTGGCGGCCCGGGTATCCCCCAGACGCTCTCCGCGAGACACAGCTGCCCGCATGCATCCCGAGGCAGGAACCGACGAGTGCGGCCGGAAACCATCAAGAATCCGAGCAGTGCCGAAAAAATCCGCAAGACTGCGAGCGATCCTCGAGCAGCCGGGCGGCGGCATCGAAGTCCGCGTCCGTCAGCGGGGGCCCGGCCACGTCTGTTCGATTCAGGAGGACCCGCGCGTAGTAGTTGTCGGTGTACAGGGCCGGGCTGGGCCCGAGCCTCGCCTCCGGGACGCCCAGCACGCTGTCGGGGTGCGCCGTCGGCGACCACCAGTCCCCGATCTGGCCGAAGTTCCCTCCGATACAGGCCGCCAGGTGCCTCGGGTCACCCAGGCAGGGCGCCATCTCGTACCTCGGTGCGCCGAGAGGCCGGCTGCTCGCAGGGGGGGGGGGCCTCTGGTGCGCGGCGTGCAGGTCGTTGCACGCGGGGCGGCAAGTAGCGGCCTGCGTGTACTTGGGCGTCGCCCCACCGAGCCCCCCCGAGGGCCGCGCAGCAAGGGCAACTCTGTCGAAGGGCCACTCCTACACGGGTGGCCGAACGCAGGGAGAGGGTTGTGGTGGAATCGGGTGCTGAACCCTGGGGCTCGCCCTGGTCATTCTGTTCAGTTCTCTGACGGCCCTCGAGCCGAAGGGCCGGGGAGCCCGAAAACGACCCTCCCCTCCTAAGAAAGGATGAGAAAGCATCGATCTTCCAGGACCTGTCTCCGGAGGCTTCAGCTGGCCCGGTCCTGGGGCGCACTCGGGCCAAGAAGTTCGAGGCGAGTCCTAGCGTGAACACGGGGGCGCCAGAGAAGCCCAGAAGGAACCAAAGGCATACGTAAACCCCGATCTTCCGCCTCCCATCAACCCTCGATGATGATGACGAGTACCGAAGCTGGCTCCAGAACCGCGCCCACGGGTCGCGAATGGTCGTGACAAAGACCCAGCGCCTCGTGGCAGCGCACACAGGGGGTGGCGTGAGAGGTTGGGGGGGGCTTCCAAGAACGCAGGGAGCTTCTCGAAGGCAGGGGCCTTTGAAAAAGCTTCTGGAGGCTTCTCGGCAGCCGCCCGCCTTCGTTGAAGCGCCCCCCCGTCTTCCGGTGAGGCTGGAAACGAACATGGCTGGCCCCAACATCTGGAGGCACCTGCTGGCCGCGCGCGCGGAAGCCCGGCGCAGCTGGCCACGGCCGTGGAAGGACCGAGCGCTGGACAGACATCAGGCCGCACATGCGTCCGGCTCCCGCCCAGGCCAGCCGCGGCATGTGCATCCAGCCTCCCGGTAAATCTGGAGCGGCCAAGAGTGGGGCGTCCAAGAGGGGGGGGTGCAAATCATGACCGGCGGCATGTGCGCGGCCCAGCGGGGGGGCCAGGGAAGTGAAGAAATAAGAAGGGGCGCCATAAAATCTGGGGACATGTCATGGCCCACGCCATGATGTCCACCCCCCCCTAGTCATCACCCCCCTCTTTTCCGCCCCCGAGTAAAGAGCCACCGCCCCTCGCGCAACCTCACGGCCCGGGAACTCCAGCGCCGAATCTTCCCCACGGCGTGGCACCCCAGAGGCCCGGACCCCTGCCCGAGCAGGCTCAGCTTCTGAGCTGGGGTCGGGCAGGGGAACCTGCGAGCCGAAAATCCCCCCCGAACAACAACAACAACAACAACAACAACAACAACAACAACAACAACAACAACAACAATCATTTAAGACTGGTGACACTCCGTTCTCACCAGTGCCAGGGTTTTCATAGGAGGCGGGCAATACCCCCACTTTGTGGGGGGGGCGGTTCAAGCTCTACCAAATTTCCATACGACTCTTCGCCAACACCCACACCCAGCTTCCCGCCCTATGACGTTCGGACACTTCACTTCGTGGCATGCGGACGACCGTGGCTACTATTCAGGGCCCCGCGGCCGACGACGACGGCGTGCGCGCGCGAAGAAAAAACGAATGTGTCCAATATGGTATTATTTGACAGGGATGATGGCCCTGGCATGCGCGCAACCGTTGTTGCAGAAGTTCGAAGCACGTGAAAAAGTTGCTCGCAAGAGCCCGTTTGACAGAAATGTTGAAAAAATATTGGGTTTCCTCAGAAATCCGCAAGAGCGCGCAAGATGATTTTTTGAAACTTTTTTTTTGAAAAACCATTGGGTTTTTCATGTTTTTATGTTAAAATCGCTACGAAAACTAAGGTTTTGGAAGGATTTCATCTTGCGCGCGCGAGTGTGCACTTCGTGTCATTTTTTCAAAAGGATTCCCGAAGTTTGGTTATGTTAGAACAAGAAATTTCATTTTATAGTGTTTGTTGCAAGGAAAAACGGGGGAAAACAAAACAACCGGATCCGGACAGCCACGTTTTGCTTGAGACTTCCTCACGAAAATGATGAAAATGTGGCTGCGGCCTAGGCGCGGCGAGGGGGCCGCGCACCAGGGGCCCCAACAATAATTATTCTTTAGAATAAATAATGTTCAACAACAACAACAACAACAACAACAACAACAACAACAACAACAACAACACAACACAACCACAACCACAACACAACCACAACCACAACAACACACAACCACAACCACAACCACAACAACAACAACAACAACAACAACAACAACGACGACAACAACAACAACAACGACGACGGCAACAACAACAACAACAACAACAACAACAACAATCATTTAAGACTGGGGACACTCCGTTCTCACCAGTGCCAGGGTTTTCATAGGAGGCGGGCAATACCCCCACTTTGTGGGGGGGCCGGTTCAAGCTCTACCAAATTTCCAAACGACTCTTCGCCACCACCCACACCCAGCTTCCCGCCCTATGACGTTCGGACACTTCACTTCGTGGCATGCGGACGACCGTGGCTACTATTCAGGGCCCCGCGGCCGACGACGACGGCGTGCGCGCGCGAAGAAAAAACGAATGTGTCCCGCATGGTATTATTTGACAGGGATGATGGCCCTGGCAGGTGCGCAACCGTTGTCGCAGAAGTTCGAAAAAGTTGCTCGCAAAAGCCCGTTTGACAGAAATGTTTAAAAAGTGTTGGGTTTCCTACGAATCCGCAAGAGCGCGCGGGATGAGATTTTGACATTTTTTTGTTGAAAAACCATTGGTTTTTTGATGTTTTTATGTTAAAATCGCTGCGAACACTAAGCTTTTGGAAGGATTTCGTCTTGCGCGCGCGAATGTCCACTTTACCTTATTTTTTGCAAGGGATTCTTGAAATTTGATTATATTAGAACAAGAAATGTCATTTTATAGTGTTTTTTGCAAGGGAAAGCGGGGGGACAACAAAACAACCGGATCTGATCACATCGAATTACCTGAGGCTTCCTCACGAAAATGATGAAAATGTAGCTGCGGCCTAGGCGGCGCAGGGGGGCCGTGCACCAGGGGCCCCAACAATAATTATTCTTTAGAATTAATAATGTTCAACAACAACAACAGCAGCAGCAGCAGCAGCAGCAGCAGCAGCAGCAAGCAGCAGCAGCAGCAGCACAACCAAACAACAACAACAACAACAACAACAACACAACAACAACAACAACAACAACAACAACAACAACAACACAACAACAACAACAACAACAACAACAACAATCATTTACCGAACACTCGTTCTCACCAGTGCCAGGGTTTTCATACGACGCCCGCCAATACCCCCACTTTGTGGGGGGGCCGGTTCAAGCTCTACCAATTTCCAAACGACTCTTCGCCACCACCCACACCCAGCTTCCCGCCCTATGACGTTCGGACACTTCACTTCGTGGCATGCGGACGACCGTGGCTACTACACTGGCGCATGGTTTCAATGACTTCTTGTGGTAACATCTTGTGGAAACTAGCTTAGTATACGACGACGACGATTTGAAGGGCCTACGGTGCGAAAAATGATTTTATGTTGCGCGGTGCTAAAATTCCTACGAAACCCAATGGTTTTTGAAGATTTCGGCGTGCGCACGGAAAGAAAAAACGAATGTGTCCCGCATGGTATTATTTGACAGGGATGATGGCCCTGGCAGGTGCGCAACCGTTGTTGGAGAAGTTCGAAGCACGTGAAGAAGTTGATCGCAAAAGCCCGTTTGACAGAAATGTTTAAAAAAGTTGGGTTTCCTGCAAATCCGCAAGAGCGCGCGGGATGAAATTGTGACACTTTTTTTTTTTTTTTTTTTTTTAAAAAAAAAAAAAAAAAAAAAAAAAAAAAAAAAAAAAAAAAAAAAAAAAAAAAAAAAAAAAAAAAAAATGGTTTTTTGATGTTTTTATGTTGAAATCGCTACGAACACTAAGGTTTTGGAAGGATTTCGTCTTGCGCGCGCGAATGTCCACTTTACCTTATTTTTTGCAAGGGATTCTTGAAGTTTGGTTATTTTAGAACAAGAAATTTCATTTTATAGTGTTTTTTGCAAGGGACAGCGGGGGGGAACAAAACAACCGGATCTTGATGACATCGTATTACCTGAGGCTTCCTCACGAAAATGATGAAAATGTAGCTGCGGCCTAGGCGCGGCGAGGGGGTCGCGCACCAGGGGTCCCAACAATAATTATTCTTTAGAATAAATAATGTTCAACAACAACAACAACAATAACGCCGTGTTCTTGTCGCAACGCGAGAAGCTCTAGCTTTCAGGCCACAACTCGGGCCTCCGGCTGCCGTTCGGGACGATCCGGGCCCCCCTGGAAAGCCCTCCGCGAGGCGCAGCTGCTGGAACGCATCCCGAGACAGAACGACAAGCACGAGACGTCGAAAACGACGACCTTCTCTTCGCAGACTTCCTCGGGCTTCATCTTGTCAATTCGCGGCCCCAGAACAACCGCCCCCTTCCCCAGAGTAGTGTTTTGCTCTGGGGCCGCTTTTGATGGCCCTTGGCCCGAGAGCGACCCCCAGAGGCCGAAATCGAGAAAAACCACCCAAAGTGAAGCAATCAGATCGTCGGACCCAGAACTCCGACGTCGTGACAACGTGGTCCCCTGGAGTTCTGGACCCCTTCCCTGGAGCAGGCTTTCCATGTTGGGTAATGTTTGGACGGCCCATGGGCCTGGTGAGGGCCTCCAAAAGCCGAAAAGGACCAAAAACCTCCCGCCGTGATCTTCCACATCGCGGGGAAGCGGGGAGGAGGTATATCTTGGAGGCGGCCAGTGGTGTTGAAGTAGTTAGAACCAAAAAAAATCTGCCAGGACGGCTGGATCAAGCCAATTCCGAGCAAAATCCGTCCCCGCACTCCTCCTAGGGTCCACCTGTTGCGGATTTTCAGCCCAGACAATTTTTTCAGTCCCCGGGCCCGAAAACGGCCCTCAGATGCCGAAAATGGCAGCAACAATAACACCAAAAAACAAAAACAAAAAAAACAAAAAACAAAAAAAAACAAAAAAATGCCTCGAAACCGCCGGCTCTTCCGGCTGGCACGAGCTAGTGCTGGGCTACCTCAGACCTCCCAACGGCTCCAGGGCGCATCTGGGTTTTGACGGCATGCGCGCCGCGAGGCCTCAAGCCCCACCTCTCGGCCACACACAAGACCGACCCTGGGTCAGAGTGACCTCTGGTGCGTGGCCTTGTGGGGGCCGCGGGCGGGCCAACCACAGGCGCGCAAGACGCTACAGCCGACAAGATGACCACCACAACTATCACCTAACAAACCTGAGCCAGCTTCCCGAAGTTTCTCAAAACCACCCTGGGACAAGTTCTGCTGTTCGCGCTGGAGAGGCGAACGTGCTCCAGAAGCTGGGCCAGCCCGCTGGCAAGGTAGTGCAGGAGCGCTGGCCCGCATTCTCGGCGGGAACGCTGGCCCAGCTCTCAGAACGTGAATCAGATGCTCGACTGCACTGTCGCACCGCACGCGGCGATCGGGAGGCCCCAGTGGGCCCGCACCAGAGGTCACTCCGGCGAAGGGTCCCTCTTTCATCTAGCCGACACCTCCCCAGTCGGCCGCCGACGCCGAGCAGCAGTGGCCCCGGCACGGGCCCGTACTCCTGCGCGAAGGAGTTCCCGCCCTGCACGAGCAGGTCCGCGCCCAGCAGCGACAGGTTGTGGCCGACGACGGCCGGGGCGGTGCCAGAAAGGGGGGTCAAAAATTGTGCCTCCAAATGTTCTCGATTCCCAACCATCCTGTGGTGTTGGGTCCTCGTTTTGAAGAGACAGCGCCCCGCGTCCCTCACTCCTTCCTCCTCCCCCTCCTCCTCCCACTTCCTCCCTCCTCCCTCTCCTTGCCTCTGCCCTCTTTGTCGCAGTGTTCATCAGCATCAGCATCAGCATCAACATCAACATCAGCATCAGCAGCAGCATCATCATCATCATCATCATCATCATCATCATCATCATCATCATCATCACCGTCACCATCACCATCATCATCATCAGC